TCTTCTTGTAATTTCATCAATAACATAAAAATAAATTTCTAACATAACAATTTCTAAAAATTTACAACAATAAAGTCATAAAAATGAATTCCCCAAAATGAACCCAAAATAAATTCACATTTCAGAAAATAGTGTACCATACATTTCTATGAATTCTAATTTTAATTTCTATGAATTCTAAAAATTGATCATGTCAATAACTAGTACACTAAATTTTCCCAGATTTCATATCTTTTGTCACAGATCCCATACTTTTTTGTGCTCTTATTGTTGAAATATGCAGAGAATAACCTGCTCGTGTTGTTTCTCTCCGCTGACGTCAACCGGTGCAGCGGATAACATTTTTTCTCCTCTCCGTTTTCTTTTTGGATGAATTCTTTTTTTGCGGTTGCTCTGTTATCCTTATGCCATGGAACTGTTTTTTCTACCTGATATTTTGTAGAGCAAAAACGTGACTCATTATATCGTAATTTATTTGTTGTTTCATCGTAGTTATACTTACTCCATTTTCTTTATATTTATCTTCCTTTAAAAGAATCGAAGAATTATTATAGAATATTAATGTTAATTCTTGAAAAAATACAATACCGTATTCCTCGATCGTTTATCAGAAGTTATGCAAACGAACGCTTTCATTTTTTTCTGTTTCTCTTTTTCGTTATCTGTTAAAGAATACAAAACCCTCTTTGTTTCGCTTTATCGCCTGAGTACATAAAAACTTTCCTTTCCCCTTTCCTTCTTTAATCTACTCCCAATACGGATCGTAAATAAATTCTTTCTATATTATCTTCGCTCGTTTTTAGAACGTAAATTATTTTAGGTTCAGACCCAACTTAATCCTAGCCTCAAATTTCTTGTGGGTGATAAAGTTGAGAATTAAAACTTGAGAATTTGGAAGTTCCTGAATTTGGGGATTTAGAAGTTTAGGAGTTTAGGGATTTGGAAGCTTGAGAATTTGGGGACATGGGAATTTGGGAGCTTGGGAATTTGGGAGCTTGGAAATTTGGGGACGTAGGAATTGGGGGCTTGGGAATTTGGGTGCTTGAGAATTTGGGGGTGTAGGAATTTGGAAATTTAGGAATTTGGGAGGTTGGGAATTTGAGAACATGGGAATTTGGGAGCTTGGGAATTTAGGGACGTAGGAATTTGGGGGCGTAGGAATTTGGAAATTTAAGAATTTGGGAGCTTGGGAATTTGGGGACATGGGAATTTGGGTGCTTGGGAATTTGGGGACGTAGGAATTTGGAAATTTAGGAATTTGGGGGCTTGGGAATTTGGGTGCTTGGGAATTTGGGGGGCGGAGGAATTTGGAAATTTAAGAATTTAGGAGCTTGGGAATTTGGGGACGAGGGAATTTGGGTTCTTGTACCTTTTCCCTGTGTCCCCAAATTCCAAATCACAGACAAAATCTTGAGTTCACTATGCAGTCTATCTATTATTTTCACTATTACTCCACTTAAAATAAATGGAGTAATGTTAAAATAATATTAATTGTGTATAAATTTTGTAAAATAAATATTCAGTGTTTCTTTAATCAATTTATTCTTATAATAAGCTAAATAATGTTATGTCAGCTAGAAATAAACCATTCTAGAAATAGTTTTCCGTGAAACGTGCGTATAGCAACGTTATTTAGTATGATTTTTGGCTCGTGCCTGTCAACAGTTATACAAAAGTTTGAAAGCATGCTGTAAAGCATACTGTGAATGGAATTTATTGAACGTAGCATGCAACGTGCTACACACTGTGGAGAACACGCTCGCAGGATAGAGAAACCATAAACTTTTTAATATACGTTTTAACGAGCGTTGCAGTTTGTCTAAAACGGATTTACGACGCACAATGTGAAAACTTGAAAAAGCAGACCAAACTTTCTTCGACCGGTTCTAAAATTATCGCTTTTAATATGGTTTGTGGATGAGGGGGCAGTTGGGGTTCGCAGTGTGGAGGCTTAGACTTCGTTTCGGTGGAGTTTGCGAGTTGTATGAAAACATTATTTGGACCAAATGTACATTTGACCTTTGAATTCACTAAATATCTAAATCCCAAAATTCCAAAATTTAGAAACTTGCGAATTCTCAAGTTTTCCAAATTTCCTAAGTCCCCAAATTCTCAAGCTTTGAAATTCGTAAATTTCCAAATTTCCACGCTCCCAAATTCCCAAGCCCCCCAATTCCTAAATTTCCAAATGTCCACGCTCCCAAATTCCCAAGCACCCAAATTTCCACGCTTCCAAATTCCCAAGCACCCAAATTTCCACGCTTCCAAATTCCCAAGCACCCAAATTTCCACGCTTCCAAATTCCCAAGCACCCAAATTTCCACGCTTCCAAATTCCCAAGCACCCAAATTTCCACGCTTCCAAATTCCCAAGCACCCAAATTTCCACGCTTCCAAATTCCCAAGCACCCAAATTTCCACGCTTCCAAATTCCCAAGCACCCAAATTTCCACGCTTCCAAATTCCCAAGCACCCAAATTTCCACGCTTCCAAATTCCCAAGCACCCAAATTTCCACGCTTTCTAATTCCCAAGCCCCCAAATTCCTACGCTCCCCAATTTTCAAGCACCCCAACTCGTAAATTTCCAAATTCCCAAGCTCCCAAATTCCTACGTCCGCAAATTTCCAAGCTCCCAAATTCGTAAATTTCCAAATTTCCACGCTCCCAAATTCCCAAGCCCCCCAATTCCTAAATTTCCAAATGTCCACGCTCCCAAATTCCCAAGCACCCAAATTTCCACGCTTTCTAATTCCCAAGCCCCCAAATTCCTACGCTCCCCAATTTTCAAGCACCCCAACTCATAAATTTCCAAATTCCCAAGCTCCCAAATTCCTACGTCCGCAAATTTCCAAGCTCCCAAATTCGTAAATTTCCAAATTTCCACGCTCCCAAATTCCCAAGCCCCCCAATTCCTAAATTTCCAAATGTCCACGCTCCCAAATTCCCAAGCACCCAAATTTCCACGCTTTCTAATTCCCAAGCCCCCAAATTCCTACGTCCCCAAATTTCCAAGCTCCCAAATTCGTAAATTTCCAAATTTCCAAGCCCCCAATTCCCAAGCTCCCAAATTCGTAAATTTCCAAATTTCCACGCTCCCAAATTCCCAAGCTCCCAAATTCCCAAGCCCCCCAATTCCCAAGCTCCCATATTCCCAAGCCCCCAAATTCCTACGTCCCCAAATCCCTATCTCCCCAAAACCCCAACTCCCCAAATCCATAAATTCCTTAAATTCCCAAATCACCAGTCAGCCCTAAATAAAATAAACCTTCCACCACAGCCCACTAACGGTAAAAATTCCAACAAAATAAAATCAGTTTGTACATTTCTCTTGTTCACGTTACACATTATATAATATCAATGTATTAAATGCATTCAATCGAAATCAAGATAATCGAGAAGGGATATAGGTGTGTACACAGGTGTGCAGGAGATCATAAATTTTGATCGTCGAAATTTATTTCAACATCGTCGGCAGGTAATTTTTCAAATAATCAGTGATGCTCGACGGAAATGCACGTTGAATTCGTGTGGAGATCAGTTAACTGGTAAGAACGGTAACGACCAAGTTAGGATAAGAGAGATAAAGATATTGAGAAGGGTGAATGAACGCGTGACATAATAAAACGTGTCTTGACGTTTGCATCATTCGATCGCACTTGTGCTACACACATTTTCCGACCTACGATTCTTACATATCGCTTTTGTTAACCTTTCTAATTTTTTATTTTTAGGTTTGTGTAGTTTGAGTTTGGGAATTTGAATTTTATTAAGTTTATGAAGATTGGAATTGCTTTTGTAATAGTTTATGTACTCAAATTTTTGTATTTCCCAATTTCTACATTTTCTGATTTGTATATTTCTTAATTTCTCAAGCTTCCAAATTTCCACGCACTCAATTTCTCAAGGTTCGAAATTTCTACGTCCTCCAATTTCTCAAGGTTCCAAATTTCCACGCACCCAATTTCTCAAGGTTCGAAATTTCTACATCCCCCAATTTCTCAAGGTTCGAAATTTCTACATCCCCCAAATTCCTAAATTTCCAAATTTCCATGCTCCCAAATTCCCAAGCACCCAAATTTCCACGCTCTCAAATTCCCAAGCTCTCAAATTCCCAAGCCTCCAAATTCCTACGCTCCCCAATTTCCAAGCATCCAAATTTCTAAATTTCCAAATTCCCAAGCTCCCAAATTCCTAAATTTCCAAATTCTGACGTCCCCAAATTCCCAGGCACCCAAATTCCTACGTCCCCAAATTCCTAATCCCCCAAATCTCTAAATCCAGAAATTTCCACGTCCCCAAATTCCTGCATCCCCAAATCTCTGCATCTCTCGTACATGTTAAAATCTCAAAACCAAATTCGATATTCAAACCTTAATTCCTCAAAATCCAAGACCGTTCTCCCAAATTCCAAAATTCTAAACTCATAATTAAAATGATACACCGTCCCCAAGAATGCGACCGCGACAAGATATCGCCCCATAGCGATATAGCAGTTACAAGGGCTGATCCGCGATATTTTTCATGGCTCTAGGTTACGGGGTAAGTTACCGTGGTTGGCAACACTTGACTCCCCGGTGCAAGGTTACGGTAGGCGGACTCTATCTCCTGTATGGAAAATATACCCATAAAGTTGGCGGTACACGTGTATAGCTGCACATCGAGTTACACCCACGTGTATTTTACCCGCGCATACTCTGCCACCGCACAAAGAACATTTAAACCGGGTGCGACGCGCGAGGAGAACAGGGTGCCATATAGAGAGAGCGAGACAAAAAGGGGTTCAACGTAGAGAGAGAGAAGAAGGAGTTGTAAAAAGAACAACTTGAACGGGGTTCGAAGAGAGGGAAGAATAAAAGAAGAATACGGACGAGGAAGAATAAAGGGAAATAGAACGAGACGGATAGATGGAGGATGAGTTGATACGCTGTGGGAAGGGAAGAAGTGCCGAATAAAGAGAGCTGGTTCCATGGACGGAGGATGAGAAAGGGGAAGGAGAAATAATGGAGGACTCCGGTAAAAAGAATAAGAGGGAGGGTAAAAAGAACAAGTCAAAGGGTAAATGAGCCGGGAGGGAGAGGAAAGGTTAATGGAAGAATACAAAGAAACTAAGAGGACGGTGGAAAAAGGACGAGATGAAAACAGAAAAAAGAGGGATGGTAAATGGCTTTTGTTAACTGTACCGAATATGTTTATATTTATGATCTCTGGGGCAATTAAATTCTGCTTAATGTTTGCTGTAAAATTTCAATTACTCGTTCAAGGATGGATACATATTAATAAGTACGTATTGATAAAGACAATTATTAATAACATACGTGTTCATGAATATATATTAATCAATAAAATAGTCTATGAAATACATGTCAATAAATATATGCTGCTGATATATGTTAATAAATAAAGTAGCCAGTAAAATACATGTTAATATGTATGTAAAAAGACAATAATTAATAACATACATGTAAATGATTACGTATTAATCAACAAGACAGTCAATAAAATACATGTTAACAAATACATGTTAGTAAATAAAACAGTTAATAAAATACATGTTAACAAATACATGCTGATGCATACATGTTAATAAGAACATATTCACAAAGAAAATAATTAATAACATATATGTCAATGATTACATATTAATCAACAAGACAGTCAATAAAATACATGTTAACAAATACATGTTAATAAATAAAACAGTTAATAAAATACATGTTAACAAATATGTTCTGATGGATACATGTTAATAAGTACATATTGACAAAGACAATAATTAATAACATATATGTCAATGATTACATATTAATCAACAAGACAGTCAATAAAATACATGTTAACAAATACATGTCAATAAATAAAACACTTAATAAAATACATGCAGATGGATACATGTTAATAAATACATATTGACAAAGACAATAATTAATAACATATATGTCAATGATTACATATTGATCAACAAGACAGTCAATAAAATACATGTCAATAAATAAAACAGTTAATAAAGTACATGCTAATGGGTACATGTTAATAAATACATAATAACAAAGACAATAATTAATAACATACATGTCAATGATCACATATTAATCAATAAAACAGTCAGTATAATACATGTCAATAAACACATGTTACTAAATAAAACAGTTAATAAAACACATATGGATAAACATATGTTACTAAATAAAACAGTTAATAAAACACATATGGATAAACATATGTTAACAAACAGAATAGTTAAAAAATTATATAATAACAAATAAAATAATTAATGAAATATAGGTTGATTAATACAAAAGTTAACTCATTGAATACCAAGTATAATATATTTAAAATATCTCAGACTCCAATGCTAACAACAATATCTCACTAAAAACACCAATAACAATATCTCACTAGCAACACCAGCAACAATAATAATAATAATAATAATAATAATAATAATAATAATAATAATAATAATAATAATAATAATAATAAAGTGTATGTACAGAAGATAGAAAAGAACAGTAATTAAAATAAAGAATAAAAGTAAAAAGTATGAATAATAATTAACATACGACTTCAAAGCGCGTATGAATACGTACATATTTATAGGTTATGTACAACGACCAAGTAACGGCAAGAAAAATGGCATTTTCTCTGTCGAATGACTGCTTCTACATTCTACGTTCTACAGGTTTAAAAACAGTATCGTGCTATGGTTGACAGGTTAAAACTTCAACTCTTCAACGGTGAGTGACATAGACTAATTTCGTCGAGTTCAATAGCGCTTACGTGTATCGGTGTCTGTATAAATATTTTTAGACACGATGCGTCTGTATTTGTTGCTGTGATTTATATTTAGAATTACGCGCCCGACACTAATTTATGATCTATCTTGGGATAGCTATTTGACAGAATATAGAAACTTGTTAAATCGAACTTTTATAAGAATTCGAAGAGTGTTTTGAAGAAAGTAGTGTTGGTTCAGTTGTATAAAACCGATGATAATCTTAGAATGACATTACTTACCGTGACTCATCGGCAATATAAGCGATGTTTGGTATCGAGTTTAGTAATAAGAGAACACTTGTAGTTTCAGTGAACCATAACAGTTTATTCATCGCGATTTTTTTTTAAATGAAAGTCGAGGTGTTTGTTCGGAACATGTAATGGTCGTTTAAAGTCTTTAGGTGAGTTTACAATAGTTTCTTGTGATGAAATATTTAATCAATAAAAATATTAATGGTTCATTGGTAACCATCATTATTTGTACTAATTTATATAACTTATATTATATCAATTTTATGTAATTATGTGTATATTTATTTATATACTCGTGTCATGACAATACACAGTAATATAACGTAACATAACTATTAAATAAGTAATATAACTATTGCAACAATAATAATACATTATAGTATAAAATATAAAATAATGAAAATCTAGTAAGTAAGTACAGCAATAAATTATACAATTTATTATTTATAAAATAGATAATATCTACCTGTTTCATATACAATAAAATACTAAAGTTATGTTCCAAAACAAAAAATTAATAAAACAGAAAATTATTAAAGGTTTCGTGAACATTTCTATAAGGTACTTCGAAGTATCCTCTTAACTAAAATAACAGCTATTTCGAGATATTAAATAACTTCGTAGTGAGTAGAATTTTGCTTCCATACAAGATGAGTGACCATTAAATCAATAATTTGCAGCGGGCATAAAACGTAAGCTCCTCAAGTTAATGACAATAGCCTTCACCTTTCCTGTATAATTTTCATTACCGTACATTGTGTCGTTTTATTACTCAATTTACAGTTTGCAAATACTATAAAATCCTCGGAGTTACGCGAGTCTCTTCCCTTAAATAATATTCTCGTAAACACCCTTTAATAATCAATTTTATCTACGAAATCAAATGTTTTACTGAAATGTTATTGGAGTTATTTCAATTTTAGTTCATTTCTGTTATTGAGGGATGGTAATTTGAGAGATTTGCAATCTGGGGATTTAGGGAGTTGGAAATCTTGCAGTTTAGGGATTTTGGAGGTTGGTAGTTTGGAAGCTTTGCAATTTAGGGTTTTTGGGGTTTGGAAGGTTTGCAATTTGGGGAATTTGGGATTTGGGAATTTTGCAATTTAGGAATTTAGGAGGTTGGAAGCTTGGAAGTTTTGCAATCTAGGGAATTTGGGATTTGGAAGTTTTGCAATTTAGGGAATTTGGGATTTGGGAATTTTGCAATTTAGGAATTTAGGAGGTTGGAAGCTTGGAAGTTTTGCAATCTAGGGAATTTGGGATTTGGAAGGTTTGCAATTTGGGGATTTTGGGATTTGGGAATTTTGCAATCTAGGGATTTAGAAGGTTGGAAGTTTGGAAGCTTTGCAATCTAGGGATTTTGGGATTTGGAAATTTTGTAATTTGGGGATTTTGGGAGTTGGAAATTTTGCAATTTGGGGAATTAGGAGGTTGGAAGCTTGGAAGTTTTGCAATCTAGGGAATTTGGGATTTGGAAGTTTTGCAATTTAGGGAATTTGGGATTTGGGAATTTTGCAATTTAGGAATTTAGGAGGTTGGAAGCTTGGAAGTTTTGCAATCTAGGGAATTTGGGATTTGGAAGGTTTGCAATTTGGGGATTTTGGGATTTGGGAATTTTGCAATCTAGGGATTTAGGAGGTTGGAAGCTTGGAAGCTTTGCAATTTAGGGATTTGGAAGTTTTGCAATTTGGAGATTTTGGGATTTGGGAATTTTGCACTCTAGGGATTTAGGAGGTTGAAAACTTTGCAATCTAGGGATTTTGAGGTTTGAGAGCTTTGCAATCTAGGGAATTTGAGGTTTGGAAATGTCGCAATCTGGGGATTTTGGGATTTGGAAATTTCGTAATCTAGGGATTTAGGAGGTTGGAAGTTTGGAAGTTTTGCAATCTAGGGATTTTGGGGTTTGAGAACTTGACAAACTAGTAATTTAGGAACTTCGAAATTTGGGGAATACGAGAATTTCAAATTGAATACTTACATATTTAAAAACATGCTAATTTTGAAAATACTTAATAATTTCATAAAACTTGCTAATTTCGAAAAACCTAGATAATTTTATAAAAATTGCTAATTTTAAAAAACCTTGACACTGTTGTAAAACTTGATAATTTTCTAAAACTTGCCAACTTTGTAAATCGAATTTTTTAAAATTAAATTAAATGAAATCTTGAAAATAGTATCTAAAGCCGATAAAGCCGCGTGAATTAATCGTTAGAATTTTGAGTCGAATCGTGCAGGAATAAAAGACAAGCAGTGATTTTCCAATCGATACTCTTGGACAAAGCTCATTATCAGTGCTCGTAGGTTATCAGAGTCGTATGGTAAACGCTACTCGGTACGAGGCTGGCTCATACATACGCATAAACCAGTCGTTTAACCATCGTCGTTACCGAGCCACATACGCTTCGCTAGATTTTTCCTAGCCGTGGTCGTATCTTCGAAGTTCGTTTGTATTGGAATTTTAATGACTTTTAGCTGGATTTATCGTCTAGTTTAAGCGAGCTCCGTTACATCAATTGTTTTGATCGTGTATTCCAGGAAGGTGCAGTCGCGTCTCTTGAATACCTTGCTGCACGTCAGCCGCGTCGTTGAAAACTTAACAATTCTTTATCAGCGTGAAATGTCAGCTGAGAAACAGCCGATTTGCTCCTTCTATTTGTTCGGCTAATTAAGTAGGTATTCCCGTTCGAAGGGGTTAAAGGATCAGTTCTTCTGATTATATTGGATTGCTAACTAAAGTTCCGCTATGTTTTAAAAGTTTATTTTTTAATAAAAATTAATTGATCATTCAATAATGTATTTTACCTTGTTGTTTATAAGTTTACAATGTTTGACAAAGTTTTTTATATATTCGTTTTTTTTAAATTGGAAATTGTTACTTCAAATTTCGCGCCAGTTTTGAACAGCTGATTGCGGGCGGCCATGTTGTATTGCTTGTATAGCTAAATGGTAGAGTTTCATGCGTTTGTAGTTTAAAATTTAGATATCTGGATGTTTGAAATTTCCAAAAGTAAAAATTTGTTAATGTA